TTGAAAAAAATGTCGCTTACGTTATTTTGGCGGTTAGGGCTCGATATGTTCCTGCAAAACAGACACAGTTATGGTTCACTAAAGAACTGAGAAATGAGAAAAACAGAAAGTCGCGTTATTTTAGATTACAAAAACCGGTTTACACTCATACTATGTAAAATACTGACTTTTGCGTCATATGTTTTTTGAATTAAACAAAAAGTGTTATAAAGCTGACTTGTGTAAAATCAAACGGCGTATAATATATAACCCCAAATCATTTTATGACTTCGTAAACTCCAAGCGAAATATACGCGGGTTTCCTTCCGCCATGAAGTATCAAAATACCGTCTCTGGTGGTAATCAAACAATTTCTAACATGTTCGCTCAGTTTTTTAAATCCAATTATTCCATTAACTCACATGCTAACATTGACTATCCTTTTAAACTAGGTCCAATGAACTCAATAAATATCCCAGTAATATCTCCCGATGATGTAGTAGTTTATCTGAAATCCTTAAAGCAGTCCTTCAGTTATGGTCCTGACCAGATCCCTACTTGTATTGTTATAAATTGTGCTGATTATCTCTATGAGCCGTTAACAGCGTTATTTAATTTGTCTCTTAAAGAGGGCGGTTTTCCAACTATATGGAAGGAATCGTTCATAACCCCGTTACATAAAAGCGGTAGCAGATCTTCAGTGGAGAACTACCGGGGAATAGCTAAGCTTTCTGCAATTCCTAAATTATTTGAAGCAATTACAACAAATCAGTTGAGGCATTCTATCTCTTCTAGCATTTCATATAGTCAACATGGATTTTGCAAGGGCAAATCAACTTCTACAAATTTACTTGAATTAACATCCTATATCTCAAAAGCATTTAGTGAAAGCAAAACTGTTGATGTTATATATACTGACTTCAGTAAAGCATTTGACAAAGTGTGCCACTCGTTGCTCATCTATAAACTTGATCTTCTTGGTCTTCCACCTAATTTTCTACGTTGGATCTCTTCATACCTCTATGATAGATCACAAAGGGTAATGTTTAAAAATACTATCTCTGACGTCATTGATGTTACTTTAGGAGTCCCTCAAGGTAGCCACCTAGGCCCGGTTCTGTTCTTGCTTTTTATAAACGATATTTCTACAGATATACAATTTTCCAAAATTTTAATGTATGCAGATGATGTAAAGCTTTATAAATCGTACGTTTCAATTAAAGAAAGGTCTTTGCTACAATCAGACTTAAACAGCATGGCTTACTGGTGTCAAGTAAATCCTATGCCTCTAAATCTTAAGAAATGTAAAGTAATGTGCTTCTCGCGAAGAGCTGTTCATCCCGCTTCTTATACAATAGATAACCATAACCTGGAACAGGTATACAATTTTGTGGACCTTGGTATCACAATGGATCCTAAGCTTAATTTTAATCTTCATATTAATGTGACAGTCAACAAGGCTAAAGGTGTACTTGCATTTGTGAAACGATGATCAAAAGAATTTTGTGACCCTTATATCACTAAAACCCTGTTTACAACATTAGTTAGGCCAAGGTATCAAATTTAAGCAGAAAAGATAGAATCAATTCAAAAACAATTTCTACTTTTTGCATTAAGAAATTTTCGTTGGGATTTCAATATAACCTTCCACCTTATACGAGCCGGTTAAAACTTATTAATCTTCCTACACTTTCCAGCCGCAGGCAAATGCTTGGTACAGTTTTTATAGTTAAATTACTAACAGGCTCAATTTCAAGTCCACTTCTTCTGGGCGAAGTTAGCCCTAACGTTCCCTCCCGGGTATCAAGACACTTTTGTCCCCTATTTCTGAAAGCTTGTAAAACTAATTTTGAATTGCACGACCCACTCCGTTGCTTATGCCAGGATTTTAACTCTCATTCCAGCACGTTTGATACATCAGATCCGCTTTTCAGCATTAAGAAATCGATACTGTCCTCTCTCAATAAATGAATCATTAAAATAAAGACATAAAATCGGCTGATGAATTTAGTTCTGTAGCTGAACAGTTTTAGATCTCGACACTTAACAAACTCCTGCCTAACGTGACTCGGCGTAAAAATTGAAAATACTGGTTTCGTACGTCATGCGGACTGCGCCCCTCGCGCGGATGGGCGGGAATGGAGGGTAAAAACCGTTGGGATTATTATTATAAGTCTAAATCAGAATAGTTTTGGCCCAGTTATTCAAGTTTTTCGTAAAGCAATCTTTGAAAAGATTCCGTTGAAAAGATTTTTAAATATTTTTATGCAGATTTTTTAAGAAACTATGTTTATTCATAAAAGACTCCATTTTTTGAGGTATTTTTAAATCCGTTCAGCTCGCTGAAATCTTAATATTTTTCCGAAATATTTTGGTGGACGTCTTAAAATATAATAGATTTTGTAGGGGGGGGAGGGGAGTGAAATAACGCAAATTTGTGTTATTTCCCAATTGAATGTGAAATAACACACGTTTGCTTTATTTCATTTCTCGTTGAGCAATAAGACCAACTTTTAAGCTTAGCAATTGAGTAATAAAGCAAAATAGTGCGCATATGTAGGTAGTCACCCAGTTACATTTGACAAAAAGTAGTACATGAACAAGTTAAATGGACGGATTTGTAAGTATACAATTCTGAAAGTGCCACTCCGTGCCACCCACGCCGCGCCGCGTTCGACGTCGCCCCCTCCCCTCCTTTCGCAATTATGCACTGCTGTCATTATAACCGTTTAGAAAAAAGAATAATAATAAAATGACACTAGTTCACTTCTGAAACTGCTTACCAGCTGCCACTGCCTTATTTGAAAATTTGCCTATAAAATATGACTATTAGGCAGCCGAATGTCAGAAAATAAAGCGAGAAAGCCGTTTTATTATTTCATCTGTTTATTGCGACATCGTTCCATGCAAACATTTTAAGGTTTTCCAGCAATGTTTTTAACATATTAAAAAGCATGCAGTTATTAAAGACGATGCTTTCCCTATATTTTGTTAGACTTTTCATAAGTAAAAATATTTTGTGAATATTACTTTCTTCATATGAATTATATCACATTTTTTGTTTAATTCAAGGCCTATCAAACAGGTTTAGAGCATTTGAGCAAAAAACAACATTTGTTGTTGCTTCTGGTATCGAAAGTGTCAAAAACTGTTTTGATTTTTTTCTTCTACATCAAAGCGTGCCATGTGAAATACAAAAAAGATACAAAACTTAAATTGAAAAAAAACGAAAATTGTTGCAACTTTTGCTTGAAATGAAATATACGGCGAACGGCGAAGTTCGCCGAATTGGGCGATGCCGTCGTACACCGTTCGCCCTGCTTTTTCCATACAAAACCAGCGATTGAATAGCAGCTTTTGGAACGCTCGCCCAACTCAGCAGCACAACAGCTGATTACTGGGCCTGGCACAGGATGGATCAATGCTTCGGGAAGCAAACCAATTTACAAAGAAAGAAAGTTGCAACAATGGCACAGAAGCACGGATAATGACAACATCCGATGAGGCGGCTCTTGGAGTACTTGAGATTTTACGGAAGGTATTAAAGCTCAGTTAGTCTAGACTTAATTTCCGTAACTTTTTTTTGCCAACCTGTTATATGAGAAACTGTGTTGCGGGTAGTTAAAACTTAGCTAACCGTTAGCAACTTAAGAACCTGTAGATTTAAGATTCTTAAGTTACGGCCTTACGGAAATTGAGAGCGGTGAGAGAACATGCTTGTCAGATTTTCTTTTTTGTATTTCTCAAAAATAAATGAACGCATTGATGATTTCTTACGGTAAGTTACATTAAGTTAAGTCTAGACTAACTGAACTTTTACGGCACTTTACGCGTTGGCGACGGCGAGTACCGCAGACGATGGCACAGCTCAACAACAGGGCATAGCGCAGCTACTTAAAATACGGCGGCACAGCTGAGTTGGACTTTTTCCTTCGAATGGACGGAAACGCTCCAGCGCTGAAAGTATTCACTTAGAAAACCCGCTGGTGGTAGCGGATGAAGAAGACGGACTTGGCTTCACTTGGCATTTCCAATTGGCGTCGGTAGGTACAGAAGAGAAACAACTTGCGAGCTTTGTTGAACTCGGCCAAAATCTCTTTGACGGTCTCCGCGCCAAACACAAATAAGAAGTAGAGCATATGGTCAACGCGGGCCAACTAGAAATTGGCATGCCTTATCCAAAAGACACAATGAAAATAAAAGAGGGAAAACTGTAGAAAATGGCGAAGCCACTGAAAACTTGGTTAGTCCAAATATGTTGGTTTAAATTTTGACAAAAATGGTATTCCGCGCTGTCATAGTACACTGCAAATATAGCATAGGGTTTTGTTGTTTCAAAACAGGCGTCGAGCACTTGATCCCCAAATTTCTAGTAGTTATGTACCTTAAAACGTTTATACCATAGGCAGTCACCGTAAATAATATTTTTTAGAATTGTGAACTTACTGTTGTTTTTTCGAGACATCTCAGAAGATGATGATGCTGTAATTCGAATATATCTTCATCGCGGTAGTTATCATCCAGCTCAATTCCTGACTCCTGCGCTGCCCACCGAGCTTCTGCAGCTTTTTTCTTGTTTACAAATGCAGCGCCGGATGAGGCCTTGGCAATTCGTATTCGTGCCAATCGGGCTTTCTGTAAGAGAGAAGCACAACAGAAAACAAATAACAAGTTTGCAAATTTTAAAGAAAAGGAAAAAACTTTAAAACCGAAGAAAATTATTCCGAGGCTGTTCTAAAAATTACTCTGGTTTACAGCAAAAATGTTCAATGGATGCCACTATGCAATGCTTATATGAAATCGCCCGCTCATACCGAAAGTCGAGATAATTTTTTATTCTATGGAGATTTTTGGAGATATTTCAATTTACCGTAATTCAGCTTAAAACAAACAAGTAAGAAAATCTAAGTTCGGGCGGAGCCGAACATTAAATACCCGGCACAGGTATCGCTACATGGTAAGCCGCTGTGTATAAATTTTGAGTAAATTAGCGTCCTTAAATTTCGAAATATTGAATTTTCAAGCATTTCTGAAATTTACCGTTATATGAAAAGTGGTCGTAATTTGAATCTGATTCCAATAATTTTCAACGTTTTGCTTCTATGGGGCAAGCACAATAATCATACCGAGTTTGGTACAAATTGGTAGAACGCTTACCGAGATACATATATGTGATCATAAGTGGGCGGTGCCACACCCATTTACAAAAATTTTATCATAAACGTATTTCTTGGTAAAGAATTGTTGCAAGCATCAATTTTGAGTAAATTAGCTTTAATATTTATTGATTTATCGAAGATTTCGTATTTCTCCAAATTACCGTTATATGGGAGGTAGGCGTGGTTATTGTCCGATTTTAAAAATTTTCGGCCATTTGGTATGCTGTAGCAAGACTAACAACTGTGCCAAGTTTGGAAGAAATTTGTGCAGCGGTTACCAAGATATACACATGTATCCATAAGTGGGCGTGGCTACGCCCATTTTCCAAAAATGTATAATATTCTTATTTTTCGTCTAAAAATTATTGTAAATATCAATTTTGAGTGAATAATCTTTAGTAGTTACTAAAATATCGCAGTTTTCGTATTTCGGAAAATTACCGTTATATGGGAGGTAGGCGTGGTTATTGTCCGATTTTGCCCATTTTCAATACCATCCGTCCTACGCCCGAAAGAAGTGCGCGTACCAAGTTTCGTTAGGATATCTCAATTTTTACTCGAGTTATCGTGTGCACAGACGGACGGACGGACAGACAGTCACCGCTTAATCGATTTCTCTTTTCATTCTGATCATTTATGTATACATTTGTCTATATCTATCTCGATTCGTTTTGCCTGTTACAAACAACCGTTATGTGAACAAAGTTATAATACCCTTGAGCACAAGTGCGCTCGGGTATAAAAATAGTTCCACTTAATTATGTATATCTTACGAACCAATCTAACAATCGTAATACGGCAAATGAGATACAACGAAATTCTCCATAAACCGTATATACACCACTTTTCGATAGGCCTGATAATTTCTCAGAGATTAATAAATCACTACAGTTTTTTTGTTTTTTGATGAAAAAATCAAACAAGTTCAAATTTTAACAGGGGAAAAATTAAAAAATTAAAGATTTTTTGTAATTTTTTATTTTGTATGAATGCCTGTTCCTTTACAAAAAAATTAAGCTACCAATGAAGAAAATCGATGGATAAATAAGAAATAAATGAGTGGTAAAATGAAAATGCGCAAGCATTTTTTGTATGAAATATTAACAGAAAAGAGACTTACTCAGGTGTACATCGCGTATGCGTAGCATTCTTTTGTTCTCATTTTTCATACAAAAAATCTATGCGCGTTTTCATTTGATCTCTCATTACTTTGTTATTTATCCATGGATTTTCTTCTTGCCGTTGCTTCTCTCTCTCTTTCTCTATCAACAGCAAATTTGATATGCTGCTACGTACGTCAATCTACGTTTACGCTACGTCCTTGACTTACTGCGCTTTTACCCATAGAATAAAAAATTAACTCCATTTTCGGAATCAGCGGGTTGTAAGTGGGGAATGGATAGGGGTATTCGTAGAACAAAAAGAAAACACTTATTTGTGATCCAGTGTTATTAGACAGAATAAATATCGCTTTCAATTTCGGTTGTGCCGAGCTGAATTTGAGATCAATCTAATGTAATATTAATATTAAGAGTATAGCGAAAATCTTCCTTCAAAGTATTTTGCAGCAGTGCTGCCAAAAGGACTACAAGGAGTTTCTACTACTAATTTACCTTACTCCCCCACAACTGATCATACAAATACTTTAAGTATAGTTAATATTTATTTTTATGAAAGTTTATAAATTAGCTCATGTACATCACATTGAACAAACAACTAATAAAAGTTAACAAGTAAGAAATTCTAAGTTCGGGCGGAGCCGAACATTAAATAACCGGCGCAATTATTAAATATATGTTTTCCACCTTTCCGAAAGCTACCGCTACACGATAAGCCGGGGCGTATTTATTTTAAGTAAATTAGCGTCCTTAAATTTCGAAATATTGCAGTTTCAAGCATTTCTGAAATATACCGTTATATGAAAAGCGGTCGTTATTTTAGTCGGATTTCAATAATTTTCAACGCTTTGCTTTTATGTGGCAAGCACAATAACCATACCGAGTTTGGTACAAATTGGTAGAACGGTTACCGATATACTTATATGTGATCATAAGTGGGCGGTGCCACGCCCATTTTCCAAAATTTTATCATAAACGTATTTCCTTGCAAAGAATTGTTGCAACCATCATTTTGAATAAATTAGCTTTAATATTTACTGATTTATCGAGGATTTCGTATTTCTCGAAATTACCGTTATATGGGATGTGGGCGTGGTTATTGTCCGATTTTAAAAATTTTCGGCCATTTGGTATGCTGTAGCAGGACCAACAACTGTGCCAAGTTTGGAAGAAATTGGTGCAGCGGTTACCAAGATATACACATGTAACCATAAGTAGGCGTGGCTAAGCCCATTTGCCAAAATTTTTTAATATTCTTATTTTTCGTCTAAAACTCATTGAAAATATCAATTTTGAGTGAATTATCTTCAGTAGTTACTAAAATATCGCACTTTTCGTATTTCTGAAAATTACCGTTATATGGGAGGTAGGCGTGGTTATTGTCCGATTTCGCCCATTTTCAATACCATCCGTCCTATGCCCAAAAGAAGTCCACGTACCAAGTTTCGTTAAGATATCTAAATTTTTACTCCAGTTATCGTGTGCACAGACGGACAGACGGACGGACGGACGGACAGACAGTCACCGCTTAATCGATTTCTCGTTTCATTCTGATCATTTATGTATACATTTGTCTATATCTATCTCGATTCGTTTTGCCTGTTACAAACAACCGTTATGTGAACAAAGTTATAATACCCTTGTGCACAAGTGCGCTCGGGTATTAAAAGCCTAAATACAAGGGACACAAAATAACGTGTAATGCAGGAGATAGCAAGGCCACGTGGAAACACCTGAAAAATTGCATATCGATCTAAAGTAGGGCTGCCAAACGTCCTGGGGTTCCAGGATCTGTCCTGATTTAAACAAATTGTCCTGGTGTCCTGGTCCACGCTTAAATTGTCCTGATTTTTCAATGAAGGTCGATGCAGACACCTGTTTAATTTTTACCTTATAAGTAGGCGAAAATCGATAATGAAAAATGTTTTCTAACATGTTGAACAATATCTGATGAATTTACCTTCTTTCTGTTTAGTTTATTTGGTTAAAATCTAATTTTGTATCTTCAGGAAAATGCCAAAAAAGTGCAATTTCCTGAACAGGTTCACGGCTGAGAGGCTACACATACTACGCAGTAGATAACTTCAGGAGTTAAAATCTCTCCCAAAAGGCCTTTCTGAAAGTCATTCCTTTCTCCTTCCTTTCTGCTTTCGCTACTCAAAGGAGAGCTTTCAGAAGGACTTTTGTAGGACGTACTTCAGAAGGCCTTTAGAAGTAGTTCTTTTAAAGCTGTTTTTAGTTCATAAAAATCATACCTCATCAAGGAATTTAAATATTTAGATCAAATATATTTTATTGAGACTTAAAATGCTTATTGAATTCTATTTATAATGCTAAATAATATAAACATATACTTAAGTACATGCAGGGAGCACTTTTTTCAGTCCTTATTGGGTAAGTCTTTTAGAATGGCTTCACTTCAGACAGCCTACCTAAATTATCTTTAGGTTATGTAAATACACAATGGCAAAAATGATCATGAAGCGCATTGTAGTATGTGTGGAAATTTGTTAATGGTTGTAAGGCAAGCATTCAAGACCACGTTAAAAGCCCCAAACATTTTACCAAGTTACGTCACCGTCAAGAGAAATTTGTTCTTTTATGATTAAAAAAAGTTCAGAACTTCGTCATTATTAATCATTCAGCTCGACGGATTGTGCCCCAAAACTACATTGCTTTTAATATCAGAAACTGCTTAAAAATAATGCAACGCCAGAACCAAAGAAACTGTATTTATAGGGAATACATGTCTTGGTCGATGGGTTCATGATTATGGCAGCCGTAATCTAAACAAAATAGTGTCATTAAGAAAATACTAATAAATTACCAACTTTTCACACATGAAAGTGAAATAGCACATTCACTTAATAACTACATACTTCATTGATAGTGTGATGGAAATCAGGTGAAATAATGTCATTTGGTAATAGAGCCCTTAACTTTAAATTTCAAAGCGTATCAACGAATGACATCCTAGATATAGCTAGCAAATTCAAAAATAAGAAACTATTATCCGAAGGAGTCATTAAAGACTCTATTACTTATACTGGGTATTTTTACACTCGAATTTTAACGAATGTCTAGAGAAAGGTGGAGAAAACAAAAAATACTATTAAAGCTGGCGAGAACTGACATTGCCGTGTGATGAAAAGATACTTGAAACAGTTGTTAAAAATCAACTTGTACAATATTTGCAAAATAACCAGCCACATTGCGAGAGTCGTGCCGAATGCAAGTCGTTTTTCGAGAGTCGAATCGTATCGAAAATTTAGCGTCATTGCCTAAAATTTCCACTCGACTAGTGTATTAAAATGGAAGAACTTGGCAGCACTGCATAGTTTTCGACAATTTTCGTCGT